GTATGATTGCTTTAATTACTCAAAGAAAAAATGAGGATCATGTGATGCAATTTCTTAGGGGTCTTAATGAATAATACAACAATGTGAAATCTCATATTCTTTTGTTAGATCTCATTCTTCCCATTAGTAGAATTTTCTCATATGTAGCACAACAGGAGCATCAAATTATGGGAAACTGATATAAAAATTAAAACTGCTAATGCCCAATTGAGTTACAATTACTATGGTAAATTTGGACATACAAAAATTTGTTTGATAAAAGAAAAATTATTTTCCTCAAAATTATGAAAGCAAGAATTCGAAGAATTTTGTTAAAAGAACTTGCACTCATTGTGGACGAAATGAACACACCATAGATATTTGTTATAGGAAACTTGGTTCTGGACAAAAATTCTACAACACCAAAAGCAATTATGTTAGAGTATCTGAAACCAAGAAAGAAGCAAAGGAGGACAATACTGGTGGAGATCAAGACATGCACCTGACTCAACAACAATATCAAGCTTTATTGGCTTTGTTGGGTTCAAATAATCGAGAAGATGTCACTAAGGACACGCATGTGAATTAGATAAATACCATTACCTCTTATTTGTCTCAGACAAGTAAACCTTTCATCAGTTCTTACAATAGAAAAGGAAATAATTTATGAGTCCTTAACTCTGGTGTTATTGACCATGTTTCTTGCTATTTGGATAATTTTTTGTCTTATAAGACTATTAGTCCCATTTTTGTGAATCTACCCAATAATGCTAAAGTAACTGCTATTCACATTGACCAAGTAAAATTGAATGAAAAATTGTTTTTGAAAGATGTTATTTTCATTCTTGCTTTTGAGTACAAATTGATTTTTATATCTAAACTTGCCTCTTCTCTTGATGTTGAGATTATCTTTACTCGTAACCTTTTTCATCCACGATATAAACACAAAAGGGAAGATTGGTATAGCTAAATCTAAAGCAGGCTTATATGTGTTTAGAAATTCTAAGAAGCTTCCCACTTTGAATAATAGTTTTCAAATCTGTAATAGTTTTAGCAGCAACTTATGGCATGATAGGCTAGGACATTTGTCTAATGATAGGCTTAATATTGTGAAGCATAAACATTCTTACATTCATAATAGCAATACTGATGTTTGTACTGGTTGTCATCTTGCAAAATAGAAAAAATTGTCTCTTCTTAACAATGTTTCTCATGTTGAAAACCCTTTTGATATTATGCATATCGACATTTGGAAACCGTGCTCCATTACCTCTTTATTTTCTCATAGATATTATCTCACTATTATTGATGGAGACTCATGTTTCACTTGGATATATCTAATGGCTAACAAATCTGAAACTCATAATCATCTTCTTCATTTTATAGCTTTTGTCAAAAATCAGTTTAGTAAAACTATTAGAATCATAAGAAGAGATAATGGTCCTGAGTTTAATATGAATTTTGTTTACAATGTGTAGAGACGCCTGAACAAAATGGAGTGGTGGAAAGGAAGCATTAACATCTGATGAATGTTACTCGTTCTCTCCTCTTCAGATCAAATATCCTTATCAAATTTTGGTCTGATGCTATCATACATGTTGCATACTTGATTAACCACATTCCTACTCCCTTTCTAAATAATTTTTCTCCTTTTGAAAAGTTATACAATGAAAGATGTAATCTTAGTCATGTTAGAGTTTTCATATGTTTGTGTTATAGCGGCACTTTAATGGCCAATAGAAACAAGCTTGATTTCCATGCTATCGTTGGAATGTTTTTGGGTTTTAAGCCAAATTCCAAAGGGTATATTGTTTTAAAACTCATGACATTATTGTTTCCAAGAATGTTCTATTTTATGAAAATGTTTTTCCTTACTCCAAAGAATATGATAAAATCAATGATTATGTTTCAAAATCTCTCCCTATTCCCTAAGCCTATCACGATGACTCCATTGATCATGTTCATAATGAGACAAATTTGACTAATAATGATCCTAATGATGACAATAACACCCCTGACAACTTGAATTCTGTTGATGAAAATACTAATCATGATTCTATTGATAAGAATGATGATGTTGAAACTAACCAACGTACCATTAGAAGAAGAATTTCTCCATCATCCTTGAAGGATTATCATATGTTTTCTGTCTCTTCTAGAAATATCATATACCCTTTTGATATCTTTGTTTCTTATGATAGATTAGCTCCTGGTTTCAAAGGTGTTATTTGCTCTATTAATAACAATAATGAAACAAATACTTTTAAAGAAGTTGTTAAAAATGACAATTGGCGTAAAGTCATGGATGAAGAAATTCTTTCCCTTGAAAGAAACAATACATGGACCATAACCACTCTATTAAGCAATAAAACTATTGTGGGGTGTAAGTGGGTTTACAGTATAAAAAAAAAAAAAAACTTGATAGCAGTATTCATAGACACAAAGCCGACCTTGTTGCAAAGGGGTACACACAAATGAAGGGGCTAGATTTTCTGGACACTTTCTTCCATGTTCCAAAGCTTACCTCTATTCACATTTTGCTTACTCTAGCTATTGTAAAGAATTGGCATTTAAAGCAGTTAGATGTTAATAATGCTTTTCTGCATGAGACCTAAATGAAGAGGTTTATATGAAGCTTCCACCAGGTCTCGAGACTGTAACCAAGTTTGTAAGTTGCACAAATTTTTATATGGGCTTAGACAAGTTAGTCGTCAATGGTACAATAAACTTTCAACTTTTCTTGTCTTTCATGGTTACAGGTAGGCCAATGCTGATCACACTCTTTTCATTAAACTCATTAATTCTAGCATTACCATCCTTCTAATTTATGTAGATGATATTGTGTTAACTGGGAATTATATTAATGAAATAGATAACATCACTGCTCTTCTAGATCAAAAGTTTACAATAAAAAACCTTGGAAATTTAACTTATTTTCTTCGTCTCAAGGAGCACGAAGAGCATACACCTCTTTCAACAAAAATATGCCTTGGATCTTTTGCATGAAACCGACATGCTTGCTTCGACTCTTGTCTCAACACCCATGAATTTCTCAAAATTTATTTCCACAAACAATGAAGACCTCTTACCTGACCCTACATCTTATAAAAGACTCATTGGAAAGCTGATATACCTTACCAACACTCGACCAGACATCACTCATGTTTTCCATAATCTCAGTCGATACATCGCTGCTCCTACCTCAACTCATCAACAAGCAGCTTTTTGTGTTCTTCGTTATTTGAAACAAGCTCCTGGACAAGGTATTTTTCTTGTTGCGAATAGTGAAGTCAGAATCATAGGGTTTAACGATTCCGATTGGGTTGGGTGTCCTGAAACGAGAAAATCTGTTAATGGTTACATTGTATATCTTTGACATTCACCTATATATCTTGGAGATCAAAGAAGCAAAGTACAATGTCTTGAAATTCAGTAGCGGATCTTCTTGGGAGTTGAGGGGGTCGTGACCCCCCAAAGTTTTGTAACTCCTATGTAATTTATGATTTTGGCCCCCCCAAACTTAATGAACATTTAATATATTTACTTGTATATTTACAATTTTATCCTCTCAACCCCTCCTTAGTTTTGTAACTCTTATATAATTTATGATTTTGTCCCCCTCAAACTTAATGATTATTTAATATATTTAAGTATATATTTACAATTTTATCCTTTCACACTTTCATCTTCTTACTTTATTTTATATTTATTTATTATTTATTAATAATATATTATTTGGCCCCTCCAAGATCAATGGTTAAGATCTGTCACTATTGAAGTTCCTCTAAAGCGGACTAAAGGGCATTGGCCAACACCACTTATGAACTACAATGAATTCTTTATCTTCTTCAAGACCTCAAAATTGAACATCCACAACCAACTCTTTTGTTCTATGATAACCAATTTGCCCTACAAATCGCATCCAATCAAGTTTTTCACAAACGTCCGAAACACATAGAAATTGATTATCGCATCCAATCAAGTTTTTCACAAACGTACGAAACACATACAAATTGATTGTGGAAGAGAAAAACTTCAACAGGAGATCATCAAGCTTCTCCCAATTAGTACCAAGGATCAACATGCTGACATTCTTACCAAGGCTTTTTACCTCTTTCAACTTTTCATGGCCTTCGTTCCAAACTTGGAATGTTGAACATACACTCCAAGCTTGATCAAGACTATCAGAATGAATAGAATAACAACTAGCACCCGACAAAATTGCACTCCTCTGCCTAAACGCATTTTTCAATTTTATATTGTTCACATGTGTTATATATTTTTCTTCTTCTCTTGCTTTCCACGTGTGACGATACACTAACTCTTTAAAAGTAATATCTTTGTTTTTTTTATTTTCTTACTCCATGTTTTTATCATTCATAACAATATCTACGTTCTTAATAAAAAAAAAGTTATTCAAACGTTATGCTACCAACTCTTGAAGTTTTATAAGAGATATGATGATTATATTATAATTAATTTTTTTAATTTTTTTATTATTTAAAATTATGTTTTCATCTCCTATTTTACATCTATTATACTATTTTGATATTCATGTATTTAATATATTTTTATCTCAGTTATTATTTATTTTTTTTATTTTAATACTAAATATTAAATATAAGAAGTCTATGATCAACCATTTAAAAGGATCAATTGTTCTTCTACACACTTATGAATAAAAGTTTATTTAACTGATATATTCAGTTAAGTAAAATTGGACTTAGTAATTTCAATTTGAAGTAATAAAATGGAAGTTATAAAGTGGTGACAAGATAACATGTTATAGTTTTGATCATCATCACTTTAAAACAAATAATCCTGTATTGTTTTTTCTAGAATGTATTTAGACTTGAGATAAACTTTTTGTTTTATAGACTAAAGTGGTGCAATAAGACACTGACTTTGTCCCAGTGCCAGCTCCATTAATCCAACGTGGGTGACTGACCAAGCACCTTTGGGTGCATGTTGGGCTATAAAATGCCATAAGTGGCAAGGTGTGATCACACTGATTGACAAAAATGGAGGCTTACACTAAGGTTTTTTGCCTTCTTGGTCTTCTAGTCTTTGTAAGCATTTCAGAGATTCATAGAGTGGAGGGTGCAGGGGAATGTGGGAAGTCTACTACTCCAGACAATGAAGCACTCAAGCTTGCTCCTTGTGTCCCTGCAGCAAAAAACGAAAATGCTGACGTTTCTCGGAGTTGCTGTGATCAGGTCCAGAAACTTGGGAAGAACCCTAGTTGTCTGTGTGCTGTCATGCTCTCCAACACGGCCAAGTTGTCTGGAGCTGACCCTAAGGTTGCCATAACCATCCCCAAACGTTGCAACATTGCTAATCGCCCTGTTGGGTACGAGTGTGGACGTAAGTATATATAATTTATGTCATCTTGTCTTATTTTCTGGATTTGATTCAATACTCTCAAGTGAAGAGTAAAAGGGTAAGATGCATCAAAGTTAGAGCTTCACTCACAGATTATGTTGACCTTTATAAACTTATATTATGCAGATTCTTGAGATGAAATTTTAATTTTAATTCAAAAACAACAAATAGAATTAAATATTTTTTTGTTTTTATAGTCCTTTTCTAGACCAAACAAGGGGTTCATCACTAAAAACAATTTGCTGATTTTTGCAGCTTACACTCTGCCTTGAGCTTGTACTGTAAACAAGGAGGGACTGGGGACTACAAAACTATGTTTTATTGTCCTTGCAACATTCTCATCAATAATGGCAGCTCTCTCTATAGTTCTTCCTCAATAAAACTTGCAATTTTAACGTTTCATCTTTCAAAACTTGTTTACTGTATTAACTAATGAATATTTTACGTGAAGATAATTAGGTTATAAATCTTAAAAATTGAGATATTAAATGGATCAAATTATTTAAAATTTGAAATTTATCTAAAAAAATTATTATTCAAGTAATTTAAATGGGTTAATTATTAAGATTATCAAATTCAACAATATATGTAAATTCGTGAGAACTCTACGAACTCGATTAGAGAAAACTTTACGAACTCAATTAGTATACTTATAAAAGAATATTTTATATAAAAGATAAATATATATATATATATATATATATATATATATATATATATTAATTTATCCAAAATATTTAATCATATATTTATTAAATATTTATTTTATTTTTTCTTTTTTATTTCAACAAAAAAATTAAATCAATCTTGGTTATTGACCTTTCATCATTTTATCAACTGATTCATAAAGATAAACATAAAAGAAATTAAAAAACTTAATTTTGGAAAAAATTTAAAACAGAGAAAAAAATGAAATTTAAAACATAAAAAAATTAGAAAAGAAAGAAAATAAGAATAAAAACTGGAACTAGCGAAGAAGGAGCAAACTCATTAAAGTTCAAACTAACCTATCTGAAACGAGCACATTTTGCGGAGGAGGGACCATCGTGTGTGGAGTGAGGTATGTGCGCGTGAAGCGAGACGAGTTGCACTGTGGAGGGAGTTGCATCATGCAATGAAGACACGTCGTACGATGGAGGAAGACACATCAAGCAGAGGAGACAATATCAGGAATCCAAAGGTGATTTTAAGTATCACGTTTTGAGTAACATACATCAGAAATTATGATCAATAATTCAATCTGTTAAGATTTAATATCAATTTTTATGTGAGTTCGACTCGTGTATTTCTCTTTATAAATTCCTCTCAAAAATCCAATAAGTGACATTAGAGGTAAAGATTGATCAACAAAGTGTGTCAGGTAAGCGATCTCATTAGGGTAAACGACGGTACATGAATAGAATAACCACTAGTGAGTTAGAGGGGATATACCAATGTGGAGGATTCATAGAGGGAGAGATTGTTAGAAATAATGATCTCTGTATCGAAAGTCTTCTTGATAGAGTGAATCAGGTAAGCATGTCCTGTTAGGATGATACATGAAAAGGCCACTAGTGAGCTCTAGGGGATGTATCAATGTGGAAGAATTTATACTTGAGGGAGAGATTATTAGGAAGTGTGATTCTAAGTCTCACATTGTTTAAAAATGAAAAAGTTGAGCACCATATAAAGAAGTATGACCCATAACCCAATGTCTTAAGATTTTGGATTGAGAGTAGTGTTAATCTTTATGTAAGTTGGGTTCATATCTTATTGGTGTGTTTCTCCTCTCCGAATCTCCCTCGAAAGACTCGAATAGAAAAATCATTAAGGATAAAATAACATGAGAGATCAGTAAACTCGACTTATAGAAAATATAAATTTAATAATAAATATAATAATATTAATTTCTCTTTATTAAAATAATAATAAAAAATAATTGAATTTATACAATAGAATAATCAACATTTAAAAAATAAAATAAAATCTTGAATATCTAAAATCTTTCTTTTTGAAACTTTAAAATTTCAAATCTTTTAATTTCTTGATCTAACCTGTGTTATCTATTCTAAAATACTATATCTTTTAATTGTTTCATCTAATATAGAGGACCATGAGTAATGATGAATAATAAAAAAGAACAAAATATGAACTTATAAGAAAAAATAAAAAGAGTAAAAAAATATGCAAATTTTTTCTTTTCTTCAAACATGTTCATTCGTGACTTTTCTTATAATTCATAAGTACATCAAATTTAACTCCGAATCTACGAGTTTATTTACAAACTCGTATTTGTATTCAATTATTTAACTTGTTAATTCGTAATCCACAAGTTTGATAACAATGCTTCAGTGGATAGAACCTGAATTAAAATACCTTATTAATAAAATTCACTTTAAATAAAGTGTGTTGAACACGTGTTCAACATGAATGCATAAGAGCCAAAAGTCAAATCTATTCAATAACGGAGAAGCAAACAACTATGGCTTTATAAAAACTGGTGCTCTTATTTTGACACCTGTAAAAGGTAAAAATGAAAAGAGGTGGAATCAAATACGATTTAATTATATGATATGCTTTGATATGAAAATAAATAAAAACGAAGATAATTTCTTTATAAATTAAAATTAATTTACATGTAAATTATTTAGTATAAATTTTTTATATAATTAATTTTATTTTTAAATTATGTAAGAGGCATCATAATTTAAATTTATAATTGAAGTTAGATTATATATTTTTTAATTTTTTTATCCGAAAAGTTGATAGAGAAAAATTCATAAAAATATACCTTTTAAGACGTGTAGGATAGTGAACTAAGCCAGGTAAGTGTAGTGGTGGTATCTCTGACTCTTGGTGAGGGAAGATAGATAAAATCTTGAATGACAAGGGACAAGTCACAGCTAAAGGAAAAAACAAAAGAGAAGACAAAGCAACAAAGAGCCCAAAGGGTCCTGAAGAGAGGCTTTGTTTGTCCCATTGTTGATGGATAAGGATAAGGATAGGTGAAGGTGACGGGTCAGGTTTTGAATGGGGAATATGCTGAGACTAGAAGTCTTTGTGAGCTAAGATAAGAAGGTGAATAGACCAGTTGGTTAACTGGGTTTTGGACAGGTCTGTGAATTATTATGCTTGCTGGGCCACAATCTTTGAAAGCCGTTGTAGCTTTTAGCTCTGCATGACAATGTCTCAATTCACTTTCTTTCTTTGGTTCCAAAATGGTTCACGAACCTGTCTATGGTTTCTCATTGTTGTGTTCTTTGCGTGATTCGTGCACGCAAGTTTTGTGCACATGTGAGAGGTGTTTAAATTGATGGATGAGAGGGAAAGAGGGTGGTGAAGAGATGTGTGGTGATGAGTTGATCTCAGTTATGTGAATTGCTTTTCATGTGCAGTTAACATGACTCTTCAAGGAATATTTTTGGATGTTCCTGGTACGTTAACGTCCACTCACATGACTCTGCAGATATAATATGACTCCAATAAGAATCAATAGTACTAGCATATGGTTTTGTTTCTCAACAAAATATAAAGATGAAGATCACATTGGTGGGTGATGATGAACAAGTTTCAACAAGTTCTCTCCAAAAAGTGTTTCGAGCATCAAATACTTCAAAGAAACTCTTGTAGCAATGATATAAAGATAACAAATCATGTAAAACTTTTTTTTACTTGAACAAAAATGATTGAACAGAAACAAACAATTATACTTAGTGGCAATTACTAGGCTTGGTAACTATGATTCAAAACTCGTTGATAATAAAGAGGAAAGATTAAAAAAAAATATAAGCATTATGATGCTAACAAGACCATAAAGTATGCTATGATTCTTGTTGAAAAGAGAAAGACATGCATGTGTGCGTCGTTGGTACACAATAAAAAAAGACGGGTAGAAATTTTTAGCAAATGAGGAAAAGGGTAAGAACCCTACGACATTCCTCCAATTATGGTGAATTTTTTCGGTTTGGGTTAGCTTTAAGAGAAAATATTCTTTTAATATTTGATTATATGGAATAACTATCTCATTAGAACATGATAGACGAAAATGGTTTATCATTATTTATTTTATTTAGACTTGATTGTCATAAAGAACTGTTCCATTATAGTATAACTACAAAACTGGATAAAAATCATAGATGGTATTATATTTAAGATAAGTTATTAGGACTAAACCAAAGATACCTAGCATCAATAGTTTCTATCTTTTGGTTAAATAAGAATCTTCTTAAACAATCTAATTTAAACAAATAATAAGATCAACTGTGACAGGCATATTTATCTGCAATCATAGCTGAAGTATTATTGTAGGGGAGAAACTGGTAAAGAGAGCTTCTTCCATTTAAGCAAATAATTTCAAAGGTTCAGCCACAATAGAGTAGCTGATGATGCTTACAATTCCTATGTAACTTTTCCAACAGGATGACTGACCAGACCATCCTTTACAGTAAAATAAAAAAGAAACACAAATTAATATAGATTCATATGATGATTCTGTCCAAGGCAAAGAAAGCAACTTGCTTGCCACAACCCTTTTGACTACTGTATGTTCCATACAACAAACACTAACCTATCCTGCTATGCACCTGCAATATGCATTCAATTGATTAATAACAAACGCTAGAACAGGAAACATGACAAGAATTCTAGAAACAAAGATCAGATGTAAACACAGTTATATGTATGAATTCAGAAATAGATAAGAATCATAAGATTCTGACCTCTTGCTCAATCTATTTGAATTTTTGACATTGTTATGAAATTAGGCAGAGAGTAGGCTGCCAATGGAAATTATTATCTACTTCTCATTTTCCGTCCCCTTCCCCTACCCCCTCTGTACACTTAAGCTCTTTTGAGTTGGTGAAGAGGCTACGATAAGCTCCATATATTCATTCATATGATTCAGCAAATTTGATATCAAACCCTTCAGAACAATCGTCTCTTTTTTTACTTTTTTTCTAAGACTAAATCTGAGTTTAGAAAAAAAAGGAAACACAATGGGATATCTAAGAATGTCAATTAACTTCTGGTTTCGGAAGATCATATATACCTTGGAGAGCACATGTATTGGCAAGGGTGACCTTAATAATAGAGAGACCCTGTGGATATAAAGTTAACAAACAGACAGCAAAAGAATAAGAACATTGTGACAGACCAGTACAATCCATATGCATATTTTCAGACAACAAATCTATTAGACAAGAAAATGTCACAACATACCTTGCCACCAGTTTCCTCTTGAAGCAAGTTCTGAATCATCTTCTCCGACATCATTCTGGTACAGCTAAACAAAAAATTATGTTAAACATTCTTCATACAAAAAAGAAAAAACAATTATCAACAAAATATAATAGGAATATAATTCAATCTGTTTTGAACTCTCAAGGAATTGGTTTATCACCATCATGATCGTCTATCTTAATCATAATCACCTGCATAACCTGTGACCAAGAGAGCCCGCCACTCTATTATAACAACAAAAATGACAATAAATAATAAATGCAATTCAACTCACCAACGAGTTTAGTCCCTCGTGACGGGTACCCTGAGGACTAGGACAGATGTCTTGGCCACCATAAAAAATTGATGAACTAAGGTGACATGGTTGAACTCTCTGATCCTGATAGATGGAGCGCATATCCTTATTCACTGTGTTCTGAGTTTCGCTACCATTGTCCTTGGAGAAATGATGATCTGCATTGATTAGAAGGATAAAAATGGGGAAAAAAAAGAGAGAGAAATTTTGAAAAGAAACACTATTAAAATTTTACCAAAAATCATTCATATTGACCAAATCTGTAAAAACCAGGGTTGAAACCCGGCATCATACCTTGAATACCAATTTTGGAGCTCCAGGTTTCGTTGGCAATTTTGCGACTCCATTCAGTACGCAGAGATTCCCTCCCCAAGACCTAAAATTGAATCAAACCAATGGGAGAAATATCTTAGAACTGTAGAACTGTTTCAGCATGACTCAGACATGCGATGAACATGACCATATTATATGATTCAACACAATTCAATGATCCAATCAAGTATTTTGACAGCTAACTAAATTCAATCATTCCTGTGTAAAATGCTCATTAAGTGATCAGCTCTGTTCTTTAAACAGAGATTGAATCCAAGACCGAAAATAAATTCTGTGAAAGACATGTCCTAACAGAAAACTCAGACTTTTAACACAAAACAACCAAACACATGACAGAAACCTATCATAAACTTAACCATGAAATGCAGCAGAACAAAATCAAAGGACTTTGATTGTGACCAGCCATTAAAAGCAGCAGAATCAAAACAGAAAACAGGTGCTAAGATGAAAAGCACACCTTGGTCTTGGACGACGAAGGAGAAAAAATGGACCCAAAAATCCCAGCAGAAGAAGGGTGGTGAAACTCTTTGGTGGACCCAAAGAGCTCAGAAGTGAAGGAAGAAGCTGTACCCTTTTGCTTATTCTCTTCCATTTCCCTCTAAAACTAAAATCTTTTGTATGAAAATCACTAATTTGAATCAAAAAGAAAGTATGGGAGGGTCCTTCATATACAGACAACCCCACAAAAGTACACCAATCACCGCCTCAAGAAGGCCTTGAAATGAGAAAATCACTATTACGTTTTTATCGGGAATCAAACAGAAAACAGCAAGGAGAGAAGAGAAAACGTAATAGAAGGGAAGAGAACAAGCAGAAGAAAAGGGAGAAACACGTGAATGAAGATACCCTCTTCACAGAGTGTGCGTTTTTTAAATGAAACCGCTCACACCCTTTTTATAAGGAAGAAAAGATGGACTATGATGTAAAAAGTTTGAAACCTTCGCCATTAATTTTCTTACTCGGGAATTTGGGTTTGCCCTTTTCGCCTTTATTTTCCTTTTAACCCCGAGAAACCGAAGCAAACTAAGACACACAGGAGAGAGAACAGTTTCTTTCTTTCTTCTCTGGTTTCGGTTTTTCTGTTTCTGGTTTTCTATATCTAGTCCTCCTCTTGAGTTCAGCAAGAAACAGAACTCTGCCACGTGTTCAAGACGTGGGACCATGAAGCAGATCCAACCTTTTTGTCCAATGTCTTCTCCACACAGAGTGTTTGGTTTTTGGATCTTTCAACCACCCTTCTTTATGGTAATTAAGTAATTTCAAAATTAATACAATTTAGAAAGAAAGTAATGATTTTTTTAATGGTATTTTACAATTTCATAAATAAATATGTATTTTTATTAATAAATAATAATAATTAATAATTAATAATAATAATAATAAATTTGTTAATTAAAATATTATTTTAAAATTAATTGAATTCATTACAATTAAATGAATTGAATTAACTATATTATTAATTAATTACAATAATATTAGAAGTGACATTCATTAACGAGGAAAAAAAGTTTAAAAACTATTTAATGTATATTTTAAAAGAAGTATTAAAAAAAGTAATAAATTTATTACTAAACTTTATCTGATAATATATTATTCCTGTATTTATTGTTTTCTCTTTTCAACAAATTATATTTAATGTAACTTTTAAATAGTTATTATAACAGTTTAAAAGCAACCCTATATATCATTAACTGTAAGAATGAAAATCTATTAATTTTTATATTAATTATCTTTTCAGCTAATACAAATTGAATGATTGATTTATGTACAATTTTACTCTTATATTTTTTTAGATAATATAAAATTTAATAAATATATGATGATTAGTGCATATATCTCAAAATAAATGTGGAGGAAAGAAAAAAATATAATTATATTTTTTTATTTAATCAAATGAAATATCTTATTTTTAAATAAAAATAATGTAAAAATTATAAATATTTAAATCATATAAATATTAATAAACACCAAATGATGGATAATAATAATTCATATTATATGATTTAATAATGTTTTTCTTAAAATCTTAATAAATAAAAAAATGGGATAAAAATATAACAAACAAGAAAGAATATATAATTCTTTAATAAATATGTAAAACATATTCATAGTAATTTCCTTTTATGTTAATTATTATTATTGAGATGATAAAGTCTAACACTATAAATTAATTATTAAAAAAATGTTAAAAATGTTGTAAAAATATACTTTAATCTAATTTTGTTAGTACTTTTTTTCAACTCAATAATTAATGATTTTTTTCACGAATTACAAATATCAACCAATTATATTAGTAAGGTTTAGTACGATGAAGTCATCTTTTAATATAGATTAAGGTTCACGCGCAAAATGAATTATAAATCTTAATGATTATGTCCTAAATGTGTTGTATGTAAAATGGTTATATTTACGTTTATGTCACGTAATTTATACAATTCTTTATTTATACTGTCTCATATGTATCGGTTTTCATATCTATTGATTTTGCGTGGAGGTTAGCTATAATTAGAAGGGAAGAGAGATAATCGTTGTTGCATTAAAAAAATTTAGTAAAATGACTAATTTAATTACATGACATAAAATTGTGTGTTTGCATGATGATTCAATAAATAATACTAATCTATTATTTGAAAAAAGTTGTGCGTTTGCATGATGTTCCTATGACTATTGTGTCTAATCTTTACGTGAAATTTTTGAACATTTTTTTAAGATATTATTAAAAAATTAGAAACAAAATTATTATATTTTACTACTTGATCATCACGCAGTGATGACTAAACTCAAAAGGTGAATAAAACTATTGTGATTATTGGTAGGGATTTGAAAGCTTGAGAAAAAAAATTTATTTTATTGATTTGATTTTTTATATATATAATAGAACTGTACATTTGTATACATGTTTTGGAATGATTTTATTTGTTTAAATGGGAAGTACCAACAATGCTAAAAGGATTAAAGTGACCTAGACGAAGACATATGAGAGAATTTAGAAGAGAATCATGTTAAAGACTCAAAGAATGAATAAAGACAGTAAATAGATTGTATTTGAACTTAGTGATTAGGCTTAAATTTATTTATAGAAAGAAAGGTTGATTGTGTTAGGAAATATAAGTGTGAGTTTAAGTCTAATATTGTGTAAGGATGAGGAAGTTGAGTGTTGAATTATTGGCAACCGTATCAAAATTATCAATCGCAGTATAGTATTTCGATAAAATAAAAGTCGATCCCACGAGGAACAGTTTCAATGAAAATTCTCAATTATGCTTACTAAGTATATTAAACAGATTGGGTTTTGCAAATAAGAGTTGAGTTGAATTTAAATGACAAAGAACTATAAATTGTTGAGAAAATATCAATTAAAGGTACTTAGGATTGGCTTCCTTCCTTATCCCTCTTTTGTAATGATTATGTCAATTAAGAACGTCAATTAACCTAACAATATTGATGCCACCTACTCAAATCATCCATGTTGATTCCTCACACATGAAATTCATAAGAAAACCTAATAAATGTTGATTCCTCACACAATTAACAGATTTTCCAGCATTAGGGTTAGGGTGTTAAGCAATTGATACATTCATTCTATTCCTACAACTTTTTCACTCCTTGTAGTTATTGAATTGCATTGCTCCTTGGGGTTGGTTTGTGTGTTAGCTGAAAATTGTCCTCCTTGTTGTTGTTCAGATAATTGCTTAGCTAGTTGGCCTATCTGGATCTCAATATTTCTGAATGAAGCCTCAGTATTTTTCTGATTAGCCATAGTGCCTTGCATGAATTTTTCTAAAGTTGCCTCGGTATTTTTTTTATTAGCCATAGTACCTTGCATGAATTTTTCTAAAGTATCCTCCAATTTACTTATTCTGTCAGGCACTGAAGGATAATGTTGTTGCTGCTGTTGATATGGAGGTTGCTGATATGACTGTTGTTGAAATGCAGGTTGTCTAGTAGATGAGCTAACACCTTGGTTCCACCCAAAATTCTGATTCTGATTCCCTCTCCATCCTTGTGCAGTATTATTCTGATAATTGTTAGGATTAGGAAAATTACCTTGTTTGTCGTGACTACTACCTTGGGCACCCATATAATTAGCTTCTTCTTGTTAAATGTTTCCTTGATAAGAACATTGTTCATTTGCATGATCACCTCCACACACATCACAACTCATCTGTTGATTAAGAATAGATTGTACTGTGTGCATTTGTTGAGGTAATTTCTCTATTTCCTGGTTTAATGCTTCAATTTGTTGCGTTATAAGTTTATTTTGGGCTAAGATAGCATATGAGCTGTTAAGTTCAAGAACTCCCTTCCTTTGAATTGGATGTCTATCATGTTGGGTCTGTTGGTCTGTAAAGGCTAGTGCATCAATAATTCTGGTGGCATGATCAATTTCTACATCCAACATGGATCCTCCTGCTGCAGCCTCTAATAGCATCTTTGCATCATGTCGCAAGCCAGTATAGAAAATATTCAACTGAGAAACGTCATCAAATCCATGATTTGGGCATATTCTCAACAGTGATTTAAATTTCTCTCATGCTTCACAAAAATGTTCATCTGCTCCTTGTCTAAAAGAAGTGATGTCAGATTTTGCTTTGATGTAGTGGGATAGTGGGAAAAATCTATTCAGAAACTTCTCTTCTACACTACTCCAATTAGTCAAACTCTGATTAGGATGTGCTTTCAGCCACTCCTTTGCCCTACCTGCCAAAGAAAAAGGAAATAATATCAAATATGCAGATTCAAGATTTGCTGCTCTAAATCCCATGGTACCAATCAACTCATAAAAAGTAGACAAATGAATATAAGGGTCTTCATGATCCAATCCAGTGAATTGATGAGCACTAATCAAGCTTAAGAAAGCTGGATTTATCTGCAATGTATGATCATCCGGAATGACAATGCTAGAAAAATATCTTGGACCTTACTGCATAGCACAATTTCTAAGAGTTCTTCTAGGTGGATTTGCATTTGGGTTTTGATTTGGATTTATATTAGGATCTGGATTCAGATTCAAATTTACTCCTTCTTCCGCCATATCTTCTATAATTGGGTTTGGTAAATCAAGTGTGGAAGAAGAATTAGCAGATTGTCTTGTAGCTTGTTCTTGAGTTTCCCTTCTTCTTCTACCCCGGTTTCTCCGAGTTGTTTTTTTAATCTCTGGATTAAATTCTAACTACTCTGAAGATACATGTCCTCTTAAATGCATAAATCAAAAGAGTAACTCAAGAAAATATTAGCACAAACTAAAAACTAAATAATAATAATAATAATAATAATAATAATAATAATGATAATGATAATGATAATAATAATAATGATAATAATGATAATAATAATAATAATAATAATAATAATAATAATGATAATAATAATAATAATAATAATGATAATAATGATAATAATAATAATAATGATCATAATAATGATGATAATAATAATGATAATAATAATAATGATAATAATAATGATAATAATAATAATAATGATAATAATAATAATAATAATGATGATAATGATAATAATGATAATGATAATAATGATAATGATAATAATGATAATGATAATGATAATAATAATAATAATAATAATAATAATAATAATAATAATAATGATAATAATGATAATAATAATAATAATGATGATAATAATGATGATAATAATAATGATAATAATAATAATGATAATAATAATGATAATAATAATAATAATAATAATAATGATGATAATGATAATAATGATAATGACAATAATGATAATGATAATAATGATAATGATAATGATAATGATAATAATAATAATAATAATAATAATAATAATAATAAATAAATAAATAAATAAAAACAGAAATAAAAATAAAATACTCAATAAGCTAAACAAAGAATTTTCAAAGAACACAGTTCCCAGACAACGGCGCAGAAATACTTGTTGAATTATTGACAAGCGTATCAAAATTATCAATCGCAGTATAGTATTTCGATAAAATAAAAGTCGATCCCACGAGGAACAGTTTCAATGAAAATTCTCAATTATGCTTACTAAGTATATTAAACAGATTGGGTTTTGCAAATAAGAGTTGAGTTGAATTTAAATGACAAAGAACTGTAAATTGTTGAGAAAATATCAATTAAAGGTACTTAGGATTGACTTCCTTCCTTATCCATCT